TTTTATTTTATGTGTGTCGAATTTTTCTCTCCATTTTTCTTAATCTTATTGCTACACCTCTCCTCGATTTATAGGATGAGAGTTTCCATGTCCTCCAAGGACTAAGAGGGAGTGGTAACTAGTCCTAATTGGACTCTTGGTTGTTGTTTCTAAATCCCTCAAGTATTAGGAGTTATTTAACATGTTAGCTTTTGATATTTATCTTTAAAACATTCATCCTTCTTCAATAAGGTCCATGTTTATTCTCCCACCAAAATATCTTTTAGGCTTTTAATTAAACCATTTGGCCCAATTAATTAATTTGGACTATCCAAATAAATTAAGTTAGATAATTTTAGGTGGCCCAAAGTAAGAAGCAATTTCCCAAAATGCCCTTAAACATGAATTAGGAAACTAATTTCTATTTTAAGTTGTTTACTTCCAAATTTGGAACTAACTGCCAAATTAGAAAAATAATTTTTAAAATAGAAACCTTTCCATTTTAGGAAACTTTCATCTTAGAAAAATTTTCATTTTAAAAAACTTTTCATTTTCGAAACCTTTTTCCAAAATGGGAAACTTTCATAATTGAAAACATTTCCTAACATCTTTGTTTTTCTTTAATCGTGTGAATGCTTAAACTTATGCATATGACTCCATAGAGCTCTAGATATGTTGGCAATATATCAAGAATAAAAGATACCTCTTTTATCTCTTGATACATAAGTTAAGATTGGCATTTAGCAAGGCATCATGACTACCTAATTTTTTAGAACGATTAATTAATTTGCAATTATCTTTCATGAGTATGGTTACCATATAATTTATTCCTTATGTCATCTTATCACATTGTGATCTTGAACTTGGTTATTAGTCTTGTTCGATTATGATCACACAAGTTTTTTTCAAGGTAAACCAACTATGTTTTATTTGTGTACTCCTATTATGGCCATAGATTTCTTGAGTAGACATTCATCAAAGTGCAATATGATAACTCCTTTAGCATACAATGAATGACTTATCCTATCTTAGTCATCCATCTACTTCATTAGATTCCTAGTACACCCAATGAATTGCCCACGTGCAACCCTTAACCGGGTCCATCAAAACAAGTGTCAAAGTACGCAAATTCTCTAATAAGATAATCGTTATGACTTTAAGTCTAAGGACTAATTATACCTATCTCGTATGAGATTCTCATAGACTAAACCAAATGGATTCCCATAGTGAGTTAAGTTCGGTGATATGTTCTCTAACATAAATCACCTAAATGCTTGTTTTGGCATCATTATGTCAAGAGTTGTGAGATCTCCTACTACTATCAAATAGCATGAACACAACACTCATAAGTTTAACCGTATCTAGTAAATATCCATTTTAACAATACTATGACTTGACATATTTAATGATATCATTTATGTGCATTAGTGTTTATCTCACATCTTTCGATCAATCACTTTTACAAATGCATATCATAAGAACTTTTACCTAATTCTAATGAATTAATAAATATAAAACATAAGAATTAACGTAAAGAATTCTTCGTTATTAATAAAATAAATGATGCAATAATATAAGAACTCAAACCTATCCAAATATGGTTGGATCTTAGGCACCTACACTAACAATCTCCCATTTGCACTAGAGCCAACCAGCCATGTCCCTTAATCTCGAAGATCGAGTAAAGGTCTCATGTTTTAGTTGTGAAAAAGGCTTAGTCAAGGGATCAACTATGTTATCATCGGTGTGGACCTTTTCTATCCTCATGCCACCATAATCGATAATCTCTCTAATTAGATGATAGCATCATAACACATGCTTGGACCATTGATGAGACATTGGTTCCTTAGCTTGTGTTAAAGCTCCGTTGTTGTCATAGTATAATACTATTAGATCAATAATGTTAGGAAACACTTATAGTTTAAACATAAATTTATAAATTTAGGATGCTTCTTTAGTCGCTTACGTAATTGCAATTTATTCAACTTTGGTTGTTGAGTTAGCCACTATTTCTTGCTTGGAACTCTTTTCGATAATACGTTCACCATTCAATTGAAAAATGAATCCTAACCGTGACATGAAATCATCATCGTTAGTTTGAAAACTAGCATCTATGAACCCTTTCACCAATAGTTCATCTCTTCCATAGACCAAGAAAGCATCTTTAGTTTTTCTTAAGTACTTAGAATGCTTTTAACAATAATTTAGTGTTTTTCGCTCGAATTAGCTTGATATCTACTACATATACTTAGAGCATATGAGACATCAAACCATATGCATAACATGGCATACATGATAGATCCAATGCCCGACATGTAGGGAATGCAACTCATCATTTCCCTTTAGTTTTGTGTGTTAAGATGCTTAGCCTTAGAAAGTTTTATGCCATGTGACATTGAAATAAATCCTCTCTTAGAATATTTCATACTAAACCTTTTTAGTATTTTATCAATGTATGTGCTTTGAGAGAGTCTTAACATTCTTCATGATCTATGAGAAAAAAAACCACGTACATAATATGGCATACATGATAGATCCTATGGTTGACGCATAAGGAATATGACTCATCCTTTTCCTTTCATTTTGTGTGTTAGGATAATTAGCCTTAGAAAGTTTTATGCCTATACTAAACAAAATAGGTTCTCATGATGAGTCAAATCTAGTGATATGTTCTTTAACATAAATCACTTAAGTGCTTGCTTTGGCATCACTATTCCAATAGATGTGAGTCACCTACTACTATCATATAGCATGAGCATAACACTCATAAGTCTAACCGCATCTAATTAATGTTCATTTTTTATAGTGCTACAACTTGGGACAATTAATAATATCATTTATGTGCATTAGTGTTTGTCTCACATCTTTCGATCAATCACTATTACAAATACATATCATAAGGACTTCTATCTAATTCTACTCGAATTAATAAGCATAAAATAAAAAAAATAATAGAAATACTTCTTTATTATTAATAAAATAAATGATGCAATATTACAATAACGCAAACTTATCCAAACATTGTTAGATCTTGAGCACTCGCATTAACGTTATTTTCTATATCCGTTGGGATATATAAAGTTAAATCCGAATGACCTAATGGAAGTTCATTAATAAAATTTATTTGCTCATTAAGTATTTATTTTGAGGGAAAAAAAAGCACTTAGTTGTAAAATGTGATCGATGTGATTTATATATTATATTCTTAATCTAAGTGTGAGTATTTCTACTTACTAGCTATTTTAGACTCTATAATGAATTATCATTTTTCAGATGATGTCATATGAATCAAGTGGGAGAATATAAAAATATCTTAGTATAGCTCATGTGTCATGTCTTTGTTTTAAATATATATGTAACAATTAAAAGGTTAGAGCTCATTGGACTATAATGGTGGCCAATCACATCTACGATTGATGAAAGTGCAACAATTAGGTTTAAAAAAAGAATCATTAGTCTAGTCATATTAATATTAAATAAAACATGTGTTTTACATCAACATATATAAAAACCTTAAATCATTGGCATAGACAAAAAAACTCTTTCTTTTTACCATATTTATAGAAAGTATGTATATTATTAGTTTCTATTACGCTTATATGATTAGATATATTTAGTTTATATTTGCATTAACGAGATAATTTTTTTGTTCAAAAAAAAATCCAAATTTTGAAAGTGCAAATTTTTTAAATTAAAACATCATACAAGTCCGACATTGGAATTCTGCTTTCTCCATCATGTTATGTTGATTCGAACAAAAATCTTTTCATCATGCAGATTTCTTTCGACATAAAAGCGGGACGATTTAATGAATGGTTAACAAGCAGATATTCAAAAGATTTGAGTTTGAAATATACAACCAAAAACAGAAAATATGGAGTGGATGTGATCTTTTTTCTCCAAGTTCAAAAATAAATAAATTAAATTAAATTAAAATGGGGAAGAAAAAGCAACAACTTGAAGGTGATGAGATAACTTCTGTCTCAGATTTTAAAAAGCAAAGAAAAAACGAGAAAGAGCATGAAAATGTCATCCATGCATGTTTTAGCTTTCCTTTCATGGTTCGATCATAAAAGAGAAAAATTCCGTTCATGCTTCGATCACAGTAGACAAAAACTGCACCTAGATTAACTGCACGTTCATTTTCATCTAAATTGTTACATGAAGTTAGATTTGAAACCCAGTCGAAGCTGGCGGGAGACGGGAGCCAAATAAATTATAAATTTATGTTTTTCGTTTTGACCAACAATTAATTAATTCTTATAATTTTAAAAATTAATTATTTAATCACCATATATTTTATTTTATTTTTTAACTTGAACTTTTTCTGTATTTTTTCATTTATTTTGATTTTTTATTTTAAGAAATTAATAATAAATAAATAATATGGAGAGGTTAAAAATAAGAGAAAATAAGAGAAAAATAACATTTTTTTATATAAAATAATATTAAATTATTTATAAGCAAGTCAAAAGATTAAATAATTTGTTTTTTTTTTAACAAATTAATTTATTTCTTAAAAATAGAGCGACTAATTTATAATTTACTCAAGGGGGCCTTGCAGCAAAAGTATATCAGACACTTTTAACTGCATGTAAACTCGGAAGGCTGCAGGCTGCAGATTAATCAGTAGCAGTAACGTAAAACAAAATTCTTAAAGTTCAAATTTGACTATTGTTTTAATAAAAATGCAAAATCAACAATATAAATTTACTGCATTCATACTAACCATATCAGTGTAACAGCATGCAAGTGTTAAAACACACACACACACACAGAATTCAAGTGTCAAAATAAATAAATATAAAAAATAAAATCTGACACAAAAATTGAGAAATAAAATTCATATAAATATTGCAGTTAGTATCAGAAAAATCAAATAACTCATTGTATTGTTTCACTATCGTGATGACTCCTCATTCTTTTGTAATTACTCATTATTATTATTATTATTATTATTATTATTATTGTTTGTTTGTTTTCAGAGATCCGTTGGTGTACTTAATTCTACTCCGAAGCTTTTAAAGTTTAGCTCTCCGTAATTCTAACTTGCCAATAGTTCCCAAATGGACTTCATCAGGGCCGTCTGCAATTCTCAATGTTCTTGCAGTTGCCCAAAGATGGGCCAAAACCGTGTCAGATGATAAGCCAGCCGCACCATGCACTTGCATTGCCGAGTCAAGAACCATGAGTGCCATATTTGGAGCTGCTACCTGTTCCACATTATGTCAAACCATGCATTTTACTCTATTTCCCTGAATGTTTTATGTAAAGAGAACAATACTATGCTGCACTTCCAATGAAGAGCGACAATTACCTTGGCCATGGCAATGGTACCACGGGCTTTTTGTTTCCAAGCCGATCAAGCTGATCAGCTGCCTCAAGAACCAACAGTCTTGTCTTCTCAAGCTCTATTCGACACTGCATAAAACAGTACATTATATACATTAGAATTTAGGGAGAGCAGACTAGATGGATAGTTCCAACAAAGAGGAACGTTCGTAAGGAGCATGCAACATATCCTGTAGACAAATTTCTAACACAGTAACCCGGATCTATTTTTCAATCCGATACTGCAGGGAATAAATGGTGTTCCCTTTAGATTGAACAATCAGTTTCACATTTTCTTCAAGTGCAGCATCTGAACGAAAAAAAAACTAACAAAATAGTACATGTTAAAAAATTACCTTGGCAACATCTGAACGAAATGAACCATGCTCTGCTATTAATTTTCCAAATGCTCTTCTGCTGAGAGCCCTTCTAACCATCAACTGCATGCCCCGCTCAGCAGCACCTACCAATCTCATGCAGTGGTGCAATCTTCCAGGGCCCAGTCTACCCTGCAAGAAATTAGGGATATACTATTACAGACACAGCAAAACCTGTGTGCTTGCAGTGTGAACACACTGTTTTCTGAAAATAGATAGCACAGATTTTGTCCCCAAATAGAGTTCTACACTAGCATGCTTCCTCGTTTCTGTCTACTATCAAACTGGTAGTAAAACTTAAAATGGAGGTAAAACTTTTGAATCCTGAGCTTATGTATGTCCCTGGAAGTTGACTATTCACATTTTCAATCACGAGGACAATGGCCCTTGCAAATTGATTGAACTTTTACAATTAAGCCAAATCTAAAATCAACTAGTATAAAATTCATGTAATCCATTCACTTAGGAGCATGTGCCAACTTTACCTGAGCAATCTCAAATCCACGTCCTTCTCCCAGTAGAATGTTCTTTGCATGAACACGTACATTATTGAATGAAACTTCAGCATGGCCATGGGGTGCATCATCGAAGCCAAAGACCATGAGTGGCCTTTTTATGTGTACACCTGGAGCCTGAATGTCTACCAATATCATGGACTGCTGCTTGTGACTAGCAGCAGTGAAGTCTGTTTTTCCCTGCATGTTATTCCAATCACATTACTAAACAAATGAACGACTAATTTAACTATCCCTGACCTGAAATACCAGAACTAACCATGACTATAAGAACTTTACACCTTGGATCCATGGCTCCACTTGTCCACCACTTGCTACCATTAATGATGTACGTATCCCCTTCTCTGTATCAAGGACAGCAAATTCAGTTACATTCATAGATAGCTAGAGATGAACACATCACATAAATATCACACGTAATGATTTAACCTTGTATCGAATTTTAAACTCTTGTGCCTATCTACTTTAATTTAAATGGGCATCCTCTTTTCAATATATGCTACCTTCTAATGGAACACTCAATATTTGTTGCATCAGATGATGCAACTTGTGGTTCTGTCATTGCAAATCCAGAGCGTATCTTTCCCTGAAGCAATGGAACTAGCCATTCGAGGAGATGTTCTTTATTCCCATAGCGCAACAATACCTGAATAAAGTATAATTGCTTAGAACAAGCAAACATGCAGAATTACAGTGAACAAGTAATCCAACAAGCATGCACCTGGTTGGTAATAGTTTGAATAGAAGGAAAACAATGTAAACATGAAGAGGAAGGTTTCTTGATAGTCATTCCTGTATGCAAGTCCTGTTATCTCTCGCTCCAAAGATATGTTTCTGTTGGCTATTATTATTTTGACTTGGTGGTGGTTCTGAAAAGCTTTTCAGATACATATTGTTTCACTTATGACTAACTTCATGAGATTGAAACCAAGCACGTTCTTATGTTTCTTATGCCACTCAAAATACTCCTCACTCACTCTCTTTATATGTTTTTAACACATCTCTGATCACATTTCCCAGTTTTAGTGTTGGAGAGAGAATCTCAGAATTACTCATAGAAACTGATCATACAAACTTTCAAAGATAGAAGGGAAAGCCATGCGGTAGTCCGTAGTCACACTAATAAATCGTTCCTTATAAAATCTGAAACTAAAATTTACCTCCATATTTCCAGTGTCGGGTGCACCACAATTGAACACCTGTGGAGCCCAAACTGAACGACCCATGATCTCACAAAGGCATCCATATTCAAGGTTTGAGAGGCCAGCACCAAGGAACTGATCATGCTCACCATTAAAGATTATGTGACTACTTCCATCAAATAGTAATTTTTTAGCTCTTTCAGCACTATCGAACTGCAAAAAAGCACAAGTTCACAAGAAGTTCATGATTCCAATCAGTCTTTTGTAGAGTTAATAACAGTAATAAGACAAAAATGAGAAACATGGAGCTCAGAAAGGCACAAGCATAAATACAGGTATCCATAAGTTCCACAATCCTTCTTTCTTTGCCAGCTCCTTTAGCCTCTCTTCCTCTGGGTGCACTGTCCAACGCAAAGAAGACTGAGCAAGTTTGTAGAACTCATTTTCCATGGGGTAAATGTGATCTTCCATAAACTTGATTAACTTGTTCCTCAACTTTAGGACCTTTTCATTGGGAACAAACCTCCCAGTTTCATTTCCATCACCAACTTGTTTCATGTAATCTCGTGCAATTGAATCTGGGTAGTGAAGAGTAAAGAACAGAGAATCAAAATGAAGAGAAAGCTAAAGTCATGTCTAAAAATCCATGATATCAATAAAACTATCACTCTCTTCACAGTCTACCTGGTGGTTAATCAAGTGGGATGATGGATTAAGGTTGAATTATACAACCCTTAGAAGAATAATGTTCCTAAATATAACTTTCATAGGTAAAATAAAAAAATCTCTGGACCAAAGAAGAAAAAAGTTCCGTCTACCAGATGGAGGGTGATCAGGAAGCACAGATCTTCTTGCAATATAAGCCCAAGCAGAGTCTACAAGATCATTAGCCTGCTTTCCTGCATTTTGAGCACGCTCACCTCCCGAGGCATTGCCCTGCAATATCATGGGGACAAAATACAATGTTAATTTATCGACCTTCCACCAAAAGAGCTTTTACCATATGCTTAACACTAAAAATATAAAGTTTTATCTTTCAAAATTACCAGGAGCCATCGACTGTATATCCCAGCAAAAATTGCTGCTCCACGAAACATAGCAAAGGCAATATAGAACTTCCACACAGCAGCAGGCCATGGTTTTCCCTAAATTGCAACATTTTGGATAAACATCTATAAAATGTCTACCATGAGCATTAACAAAACAAGGCAAGAGCAAGCAGTGAGCAGCTTCATAGTTGCAGGAGGCTAAAACCATAGTTACCAGATTCATTGAACTCTCTGCGTTATCTGATCAATTCGCAAAATACAGATCGCAGTGCATTTATGTACTGGACCATTGTGGTGCGCGATCTGGAACATGGATTTTTACAACCCACTTCTTTTATGAGATAAAGACAGATTATGCAGAGTATGAAAATGGAAGACAAAGGGGAAGAGGGTGTAAAAACCTGTAAACTTTCCTTGGGTCCAAAAAAATTAATTATTTTGGTAACTAATTATATATTTAATTTTAATTATCTACCCATATTCAATTCAAATCCGACTACAATTCCTTTCCTATTATAATTTCAATTTTAAAAAGTCAATTAAAAAAAATAAAATTGGCTTGTAGTTGTACTGCCTATAATTTTACTTCATAATAGAAAGACTGGGTTTGGTGTTTTGTAAGCACTAAAACATTTGTTTTTAAAAAACACTGTATATTCTATATATACTAATATGTGGCAATGGTACAACGACCCAGCCATGTTTCTTAAACATACCATTAAGCAACTTAGCATACTAACTAAGCCTAACCCCTTATGTATCGTGAATGTACATCTATGTGTATCACATTCCTAAACCCTGTACCACAATCCAAACATCCCCCGATTCTGGTAATTATGGGTAAAACATGCCAAAATCAATAGTAACGAGCATTCATGTCATTCATTGATACAGAAACATTCAAAACATAACTGTCAATTTCTCCTACTTCTAAGCACTAAAATGCATCCAAAAAGTCTTAATCATAATAGCTTATAGCATAAGAAATATATTCTGCAAAACCCACAGGTTAGCTGCATTACCAGCTTTCTCGACAAATCACTAGATCTGTTTCTTAAACTCCTACTTCACACATCTTGTAGTCACCTTGATTTCTTCCCAAAGGAAATAAATATCCAAAGAATACATGTACATGACACTTCTAAATGATAAATTCATAAATGTATTGTAGGTCAACAGTTCTAGGAGACTAAATAGTTGCTGGAAAGCCTGGAACCAATCCAGTCCAGAAATCATGACTTACAAAGAAATAGAATTCATATTTGTCTGTCAGTTTTTCTAGCTTGCAATTGTATAGTTAAAGTGCATTCAGAAAGTCATAAAAAGAAATCAAACACTTTTTTGGCACAGAATGCATTGTTTGCAAAATCTAAAAGATATAAATGTTCAGGTTCATTGCATTAGCAACACATGCATACATTTGTTCAATCAAATAAACTCATAACTTTCTCAATCAACTACTAAATTCAATTTTCGAGAAACCCACAAAGAATACATGTCCATATAGTTTGATTTCCTTGCAAAGAATCACATTTGAGCAATGCAGAAGGAAGATGATATTAAATAAAAGTTTAACAATGGGTCTTACAGATGCAGAACAGTATTCTGCCAGAAATTCTGCCTGTGAAGGAATTCCTTCTGGAATTCCAGTAATTTCAAAACCTTTACCCACTTGTTGATTTTCAAGGTTATTATCCACAATGTAAGCCTGTGAAGAAAGATGAATTCAATCAGTTTTAAAATGTCGCTTGAAAGCTAAAGAACAAGTATTTACCCTATATTAGTTCGTCGACCAAACCCAGAGCATAAGAAAGGAAAGACTGGCAACTGCATCATAAGGTTGAAAAAAAATACAGGGGAATACTCTTTCCATTAACACTGAAATTTCAAATTCAATACCAAACAGCTGTAGGCAACATCAGTCATCTGGTTTCCCAATGTGGATAATTCCCAGTCAAGAATACCAATTACTCGATCCTGCACATTATGAGTCTCATTAGAATCCTGACACTATTTAAAAAATTCAGATTTCAAAAACATTTATAACAGTGGAATTGCAAACACAATAGAATCATCTAAAGCACTAATCTCCTAGCATTTCACATCTCTTTACCAGGTTAAACCCCGGTCAGATACTTTAATAAGATATTCAAGCACCGCAATGTCCTCACATATAGATGAAATATATACATTTAAAAATAAACTAAAAGCATTTATAGCAACAGACCTCAGTGGGATGAAATACTACGTTATCAATGCGAAAGTCCCCATGAACTATTCCTTCTCCTGAGGAATCTTCAGTAGGAATATGTTGCTGCAACCAATGAGCCAGCTCCAACATCTTTGGATTACTCGGATACCTACTATCACCAGTTGATGCAATGTATTGTCTGGTCCATCTCTCTACCTAAAGAGGCACCAAAAGTTAAAAAAAAAAAAAAAAAAAAAAAAAAAATTCATAAGCACCGCCATTTTGTGGGAAGGAAAGAAATAAACTGTCCTTCAAACACCCCAGTTCCAATTAAAACAGCACTTTAACTCATTTTATGGTGCTGCGAACTAATAAGTATAAACTATAAATTAAAAATAGGCAAGCTTGCAGTCTTGATGGACAAATTCACCCACCTGTCTTTTACAATAGTTGTCTCGCCGTCCATATGTTCCTAAACCAATAGCATCCACGTCAACAGAATGTAAAGCAGCCAATACTTTAGCAGTTTCTCTATAAATTGCCCCCCTTCTGTCCGGTGCCAAACCCTGAATCAAAACATGATGAGCATGTTCCTTCAACCTCTTACACCCGTATTCCTGTTACTTACAACGAAATATAAATCAAAAGGATACCGGAAGCTTAGGGTCTATGAAAATGCGTCCTTCCAAATACTCCATAATGTAAAACTCAGTTCCAATCACACTCGCATTCCTACACAAACAAAATACTTTGGGAACTGGAACTTTTGTATGTTCACCCAGCCCCCGAAGAACCTGTCACATAAAAATCCATAAATCAAATAACAGTCAAATTTTTCATGTCAATTCATACAACCAAACAGGACCACACCTACGAACCTATTAATCAAGGCAGAAAAGGGGGAAAAAAAAGTCAAAATTTCACATTTCCTTCAATTTCTCAGTAACCAATCAGAATCGCACTCATAGCTTTCCAATCAATCAAAATCAAGATTAAAATATTGCTTTTCCAAATTTTTCCTAGCAACCAAACAGAACTCACCTGATATTCTCTATCAACAGCATGAGCAGACTGAAGCAGTTTACCAGATGGTTTCTTTCTCAAAACGTACCGTTTCAAGGAACCTCCATTATCCACTTCCAATAAAAACGTAGGGTTTGATTGTCCATGTCCAAACTAAAATCACAGAGAAGATCAATAAAAGATCAAATACTGAATGAATTTTACCAAAAAGAGAAAGAAATGAAAGCTAGTTTAGTACAGTACCTGCTTGACAGAGAAAATTGAAGCTGAGGAAGGGAATCCAGGGACATGAAGAGAGGCATAACGGAATAAGGAGTCGTGATCGAATTGGTGAGCTGCTTGAACTTGCCCTAACAGATCAGAAGTTTGACTCGCCATTTTTATGGAAGTTGTTCGATTTCGAAAGGAGAAAAGGGCAATAAAAGAATAAAGGTGCGCGGAGAAATTTTATAATAACGAAGTAGGAACTATCGTAAGTTAATCCATTGATTAAAAAAAAGACACAAAAAAGAGAGAAATAAGGAAAAAAATTAAAAATTAACGAAAGTCAAAAAAATTTTATTAAATTTTTATTTATTGAGTATAATTTCTTAATTATGCTTTTTTTTAAATTAATTTATAAAATAACTATTATACAGATACATCTTAAATATTATAAATTTTCTCGAGGTGCGTCTATTTATTTATGTTGTTTGTTTCTTCGAAAATGACGTTATCATTTCGTTAGTTTTTAGGGACCCTCGGCAGCGGGCAGGATATCTTTTTGATGGGAGAGGAAACATATCATCAAGAGGATAAGCTTAAAATAAATAAAAGGCGGTAATACTAATTTTTGTTTATCTTAATAATACGAGTAAATTATAAATTAGTACCTCTGGTATACATAGATGAATTAATTAATTTTAAAAAAATTAATTTTAACAATAATTTAATTATTTTATTAATTTTTTATTAAATTAACAATTTTTTTTCTAAATGTCTTTTTTTTCATTTTTGACTGAGGTAAGAGAAAATAAGTAGTGAATGAGAAAAACAAAACTTCAAATAAAAATAATTTAAGAAAAAAACTAACCTTATAAAAAACTAATGGAGAAAACCAACTTATTAATAGAATTAAAATACCAAAAACTTAAAAATTAGTTTTTAAAATAAAAAGATTAATTAACAAAATGGACTAATTTATAATTTAGTCAAGTTTTTTTCTGAATAATATTTACAAGCTTTAGTTTTTTTTTATTTATTCAACTGGTATAATTGGAGTATTTTTTGTATTAATCAAAATTAAATTCTTTTTTTTTTTACAATTTTAAGAAAAGATTTTCCATATCAACTCTGTGAATTCAAACAAAACAAATGAAATTTTTAGATGTTAGTGCTAAGATTTGAAACCATTTACAAGTTCAAACCATCTCAAATTACTTACCTTTTGAGAGGTCTCAAATGTGTTTGGACGGTACAAATAAAAATAAACTCACATGAGCTTAACAATAGATGAGAATGAATGAATAGGGAAACAAAATAAACAAATATTTTGCATAACAAATTATAAATAAGTCTTTTTAGTTTTGCAAAATGAATAAAATAGTTATTTTTGTTTCAAAAACTAATTAATTATTCCCTTAATTAGTATTGATTATGTTTAATATAAAATTATTTTATTTAAAAAAATGTCTTTCTTCATCAATTTTTTTCATTTTCTTTACTTATTGTTTTCGTTTTACAAAAAAAAATAATAATAAATAAATTGAAAAAGAATGAAAAATGATTATGTTACAAATAGAATTAAAAACATAAGGATTAATGAATTAGTTTTTTCGGACAAGATAAGCCACTTAATTCATTTTACAAACCTAGAAAGACGAATTTATAATTTACTTAGATTTTGCAAGAGTAAATGAAAATTTTGCAAAACTTCGTTTTGATTTCTAAATATTTTTCAATAATTTAGTTTAGTCTATATATTTTATTTTCTTGACATATAATCCTTACTCAACCAAATTAAAAAATAAATGGCTGGTAAATGGAAAATGGGTAATTTAGTAAATCCAAAAATAATCATTTTTATCCATCATATTGGACAATCTTGTTTTACCCCTGGTGGGACAAGACTTTTTTCTTTGAAACAATATAATGATTTATCCAATATGTATACCAAAAACTACACAATTTATCCTATCTTAGTAAGCATACTAAACACAAATATCACAAATACAGATTAAATCTCCTAAAAAAAAAAATCTAAAGTGACTATGTTGAGAGATGTGGGAAAAAAGAGATCACACTGACAAATACCATTAAAGCAAGAATCAAGCCAATAAAAACTATCGAAATAAGATTAATCTCTCTCTACTAGAGGTGAGCATTATTCGATTTTACTTAAAATCACCAAACCAAACTCGAATTGAAATATCCATTTTGATTAGGATTTTAAAGGAAATTATTAAAAAAAAAAATTTATTCCTATTTTTGGGATCGATTAAACTAAAATCCGAGGTTTATATATATAAACTTCATAGTTTGAAACAATACAAAATAAATTTAAAAATTATTAAGTTACAAATAGATTTAATAGAAATTAATTAATTAGGTTTTTTAGACAACATAGACTACTTAACTCATTTTACAAATCTAGAAGGAGTAATTTATAATTTACTTACCCTTTGTTTGGATAATTCCTCTTGGGAGGAAAGAAAAGAGAGGAAAGAAAGTGAGAGAAAAGAAAATCATTTTTCACTTGTTGTTTGGATAAGAGTGGAAAGGAAAGGAAAGAAAATACATTTCCCTTGTTTGGATAATTGTAAAAAGAGGAAGGAAAGAAAATATATTATGGTATATTTACTATAATACCCTTGTGATTATATTTCTATATTTAAATACTTATAATAAATTTGTATAAATATTTTTTTCATGAAAATAACACAAATGATAATAAAATAAAAATCTAGCATGTAGCATATATCCGAAATGATAAGATAGATAATGAAACGTCTCCATAGAATAATCGATAACTCGTTTATTAATTAATTAATCCAATAGCCAATTTAGATTAATTATCAACATAAAATTAATTTAAATATGTATAACATGTATTATTATCTATGTATATAATAAGTTAGTTGCTTTTACCCATCATTTTCTTCTTTTTTTATAGAATAAACAATTACTATTTAGCAATTAAAAAAAAAGAGTATATGGTAACATTACGAACAATCATGAAAAGTCAATTGAATAACAAAAAATGAGACAAATCATAAATAATTTTTATTTCTTCATTTGCGGTAACTCCAAAAAGTGTTCGAGGGTCTGTCTTGAGGGATAATTTATGTCTATTTTGGTGGGTTTTTTGGAGGTTTTTTTGGTGGTTTTGAATCTGGTATGAGGGTATTTTTGGAGTTTCTTTGGTGGTTCAAATGGCCTTTCCAAAAGAGTTGCTCTATAAGGGTTTTCGGGAGTCGTTAGTAACAATTTCGGAGTTGAGTTTGGAGGCTTTTGGGTAGGTGTTGGGTCCGTTTGGGGTTGGTTTTAAGCCTCTTTTTTAGGGTTTTTTGGGGGTTTCTTTGGGTTTTTGTGAAGCTGGTTTGGGGGTGTTTATGGAGCTTCTTTGGTGGTTCAAATGGCCTTTCCAAAGGAGTTGCTCTGTAAGGGTTTTCGGAGCCGTTGGTAACAATTTCGGAGCTGAGTTTGGAGGCTTTTGGGTAGGTGTTGGATCTCTTTTAGGGTTGGTTTTAAGCCTTTTTTTTAGGGTTTTTTTGGGGGTTTCTTTGGGTTTTTGTGAAGCTAGTTTGGGGGTGTTTGTGGAGCTTCTTTGGTGGTTCAAATGGCCTTTCCAAAGGAGTTGCTCGTAAGGGTTTTCGTAGGTCTGTTGCTAATGGCTTCAGTGTCGAGTTTATGAGCTTTTGGGTAGGTGTTGGGTCCGTTTTAGGGTTGGTTTTAGGCCTCTTTTTTTAGGGTTTTTTGGGAGGTTTTTTTGGGTTTTTGTGAAGCTTGGTTTGGGGGTATTTGTGGAGCTTATTTGGTTGTTCAAATGGTTTCACAAAATCTTCCTATAAAGAAGTGGGATGCCTCGGATTAAGCATATATTTGTCGTCCTTTTTATGTTTTATCCCCTTGAAGATCGGGGAAGGAAAAAAAACTCTCCTGTAACCCTCGTAAAATCCGTAATCGTATAAATGTACGTATTGAGATATTTATATTCGTACGTATATACATATATAGTATATCGGTTATGTACGTGAAAATCTATAACCGAGTCAACATATGTACTCGGAATATGTGGTATGTACTATTTGTTGAGAGTAACAGGTGTACGTCAATATTTATATATAAAAAAAATGTTGAGTAAATTAGTTAGAAAATTTCTTTTATATGGAATAAGTATAAATTAAAAAAAAAAAAGAGAAAGTGCTAATTGCCGAAATTTCGGGAGGAATTCTGAAAATGTAGTTAATTTAATTACCCTCATTTAATCACATTTTGGCCCCTACTTTCTACAAATTTTCATTGACCATCACCTCTTCTTTCTTGAAATTTACACCCATCATTTCATTAATTTCAGCCACATTTATCTTGCATTTCACCACAAGCTTTTGACACTTGTAATGAACATTGAATGGATGAGATTAGGTGAGATATTTAAGTAAGAAAAAATGGGATAAGGATGCATTTTGGTGCATCCTGTAGCTGCCTTAAAACCAAGAATGAAAGAGTCAAAGAAAGGGGAGAAAGAGGAAAAAAGGGAAGGAAAAAGAAGGGAAACTAAAAGGAAGCAAAAGAGATTTTAGGAAAGTTAATCCAATATAAGTAGGTTTCATTTTTTTCTTGCTTTGTTTATGCTTTCCATGTTTATTTTATGAGTTATTTAATTCATGTGAAATGTGATTATGGTATTTGTGATGATTTTAAACACTTGATGTTTGATGATGGATGGTTAAGCATGTGTGTTGAGAAATATGCTTTAAGAGAAGATTTTCGGATTTTAGGGGTGGAAAAACCAGAACTTGGTGTGATTTGTTTCGGCATCTTAGAGTTATTTTTAGAAAAAATGCAAAGAATGAACGTTGTTGATATACGTGTCTACTATTTTCCTTTAAAATTTCGTGACTTTTAGAGATATATATATGGAGTTATGACTGAATTGGTATGGATCGTTCGGATGGAACCTCTACTGAAAAAATATTTCATTTTGAAAGTTGTGCGATTTATTTTGGGATCATAGAGTGGTTTTTGGGCAGAACTCAAAGAAGGAAAGTTGTTCATCTATGTGTCTACTATATGTATCTAAAATTTCATGATTTTTAGATCTGTATGTAAGGATTTATGACTGATTTGGTACGGGTCGTTGAATGGACCAGCTACTGGAAAAGTTTATTTAGTTCCGA